AACACGATAATAATGGTAAGTGACTACCTTAGCCAGAATTTCACGATTGAATCTTAGTGTGCCCATAGGGCCAGGAAGCCAAGCCATCCAGCTGCTTATTAGCTAAGTGGGCTGATTTCCTCCGTGATAGAGAGGAAATATCTCTGAGAAAAATAACCCAGCAGCACCGGCTTAAGACTTTTGCAGATTATCAGGGGTTCAGTATTTAATAAATCCAAACGTTTAGCCCAGATGAACCAACAAAAATGTAGAATTAATCAAAAGTAGCTTTCGCTTTTACACAGGCTTTCACACTTATATTTATACACCAGACAATCTGAGCTTTTTACTTTACCAGATATTGACTCAGAGTTTATACAGTCCATCTGATTCCTCATTAATTGCCTGAGGAAGCTGTATGGCTTCCGGGGAGGTGACCAAGCTCCCCCTTCCACTCACTTGGAGTGGGCCTGATTGATAGGGGTCCCTACCCAACGGATTCTGTCGACAGGTCCAGAGGTGTCTGTCCACTCTCTCCAGATACTGTCCAGGTCCTGGACTGAGGTCTGGGAATGCCTAGAGGACCCCGGTTTAATTCTGCTAAGATCAGCAGTGTGTGTGCCACCCGGAGGCCTGTCTGGGGCCCACGGGCCCCAAATGTGGTCCAATCATCGGAGGCCAAAAGGCCAAACATGGGTTGGTTTTCGCAGTCAGGAAACCAATAATGTTACAAAAGACCGTAGAAGAACCAAGCAATGCTTAGAGAGATGGAGTTACATTTATTAGCACGCGTGGGCCCAGAATTCTAAAGACATTTTTCTCTGGGCCTGCGCATAATAATAAATGTAACTCCATCTCTCTAAGCGTTGCTTGGTTCTTCTCCAGTCTTCTGTAACACAGGCATTTCCTACGTGGAGGCCACCAGGAGAAGAGGAGAGGGAAGGAGGGCATGTGGAAGGTGAGTCAGGGTTCAGACCCAGGCCACCAGACTGTGGCAGGCAGCGTCAGTCTGCAGGATGACTCAGCATCCCAGGAGACGCCTCCACCTGCCAACTCCCTGGCCCATGAGAACACCTGGATGCTCAACTTGCCAGAGACACAGCCTGCTGTTTCACATGCCAGTCAGGAGTCATATACCCTGGAAGTTTGACCAGGAAGACCTAAGGTCACTAATACAACAGGCATCATGTATCACCTGCTTCCCATGTGCCAGGCACCATCCTAGAAACTGCAGGTGCAATTGCAAAAGAACAAAACAAAAACAACCCCCCACTCATTCAATTCTCAAAGCAATCTTGCAAGGTTGTATTCAAACAACCTTCAACAGGTAAGGCAAGTGAGGCCACAGTCCAGCAGGTCACACATCTAGAGAGTGGCAGTTAGAGGTTGAACCCACAGCTGCCTGGCTCTGCAGCTGTCTTTCACACCACCCGGCCCCTCTCTGCATTCTTCTACATCTTTGATACCATCTTCATGAGTGCACCCTCCCTGGCCACCCAGAGGGCTCCTCTGTGACACCCTCTCCCAGCATCAACACTCAGGGAGTGTAGGCATGGGCAGGGGCACGGTTGTGAATCCCACTTCTTCAGGCCTGCTCGGGGGTGTCAGGTTAGTGAGGTGAGCACACTGGGAAGAGGGAGGGAGGTGGCTCTCAGGAGGGAGCCTCAGCATCCACAACCAGCTCCTACAGCGAGGCTGCTTTGGTCTCGCTGAGGCTGAAAAGGACCAGTTACCTCTGGGCACTTGGTGGTGATGCAGATTCTCAGGGAGCCCCACCCCCGAGCCCCTGAGCCAGAAACTCAGGTCCATCCTGTGTCCAGGCAGCCCTGGTGAGCGTGAGAGAGGCCGCAGTCTGAGAAGCATGCATCAGACCATGAACTTGAGGGCAGGGCTTTGGTTTGTCTCCAGCCCCCGGCGCACAGTGCTCTGTAGTCTGAAACAGAAATGATGGGAGGCAGAGAGCATGTGCATACTGCCTTCAGGACCGCCCACTTGACTAGGCACCTAGCGAGTATGTGACAAAACTTGCCGATGAACTCTTACTTTGTTTTTTGGGGGGATGCAGGCATCATGCGTGCTGCCTAACACAGAGTACACACTCAATACATTTCTACTGAACAAATAGTCTGTATTCCGTGTCACCAGGCTCTACTAATGCAGGCCAGAGAATTCGCTATGTGGCCGGAGAAAGTTCCACTGTGTATGCTTAAGGGGAAGGAGAAAATTACTAAATCCTCCAAGGGTCTCAACTGTCAGGTGGTGACTTCAGCCAGTGCACGGAGGCAACAGGTCAGTAACAGGTGCACGTGCAGCTTCAGGAAAGCTACATGGAGACACGAGGGTTTCCTAATGCCGCTGACATCCACGGGTCAGAGCTGCAGAGCAGCGCTCTGCAAATTCGCGCTGCGGGCCGACTCCAGCTCGCCACCCTTCTTTTGTTTTTGTTAATCCTGACCCAAGAATATTTTTTCATTGATTTTTATAGAAAGTGGAAGGGGTTAAGGCAGGGGCATAGAGAGAGAAACATCAGTGTGAGAGAGACACAATGACTGGTTGCCTCCTGCACATGCCCTGACCAAGACTGGTGGATCGAGCTTGCAACTGAGGCACATGCCCTTGACTGGAATCGAACTTGAGACCCTTCAGTCCACGGGCTGAAGCTCTAACCACTGATCCAAACCGGCTAGGACTTGCCACTCATTTTTGTATGGCCTGTGAGCTAAGCAGTCTTTACATTTTTTAATGATTAAAACAAAATATTTTTAAAGAACAGACTTTTGTGAAAACTCTATAGAATTCAAAGGACAGTGTCCACAAATAAAGTGTCATTGGAGCAAAGCCCTGACCGTTTATTGACAGATGGCCTAGGACCGCCTCCTGCCCAGCGGCAGTGAAGAGTAACTGCACAGAGACTGCACGGCTCAGGCCCTCCACGTTGGCCTTCCTGCGGCTCCCTGCACAGATGGAGAGAACAGCCTCCCAGGTCTGGGTGGGCTGCCAGCACAGTCACTTTCTGGCTAGTGGTTATGTCCCCCATCCAAGCCAGCTCTGCAGCCAGGTGGCGCCAGCCCCACCCTATCCCTCTCCATGACTTTGCTGTCCAGGTCTCCCCTCTGGTCCAGGTCCATCTGAGGGGAGAGAGGAAAGAGCGCTCCCAGGCCTCACATAGCGAAGGGGGAGCCCGGTCATGCTCCGCCAGGAGCTCCTCCAGGGTCACCATCCTCTGCTCTGGGGGACCCTGGGCCACCCCAGGCCTGGGGCTGGGCAACACCCCTCTTCTGGATGCTTCCTGGTGGAGAAGCCCATTCTGGGTGACAGGTACTCCTGGAGGCCGAGGGTAGTGTATCCTGGGGTGCTGGCATCGCGAGGCGGGGCAGAGTGCTGCGTCCCTGCTGGGCATCAGGTCCTCACTGCTCTTGGGTTTGTGGTGGAGCCGGTCGGGTCGGAGGAACCTGGTGTCAGGGCGAGGGGACACAGAGGGACACAAGTCAGCCTCTCACTCTCACTCACCTGCCTCCAGTGGGCTCTGTGCTGCCTCCGGCTCAGGGAACACAGGGAGCCCTGCTGGGGAGCCCAGAGCACACTTCTCCCAGGCTGGCACTGGGATGTCAAGGACATGCTGGGATTCTCTAGAAGTTCACAGTGGGGTTTAAAAACAAAATAACGTGGGAGGGAAGGTCAGAGCTCCTGCTAAAGCTGAAATTAGGAACAGCTGTGAGGCAACTCCCTCCTTAGCCCTTGGGACAGCGTAGACAGACCATCTTCTGCACCATTAACAAACTTAAACGTTGTAAAGGAATCACACTCACCCGTGTCCTCTGACCACGATGGACCGGAACTCCCAGCCCTGTCCCCATCCGGAAGCTGCAGGAACTCAGGCTCGGAGGATGAGTGGCTCACCCAGGTGCCCAGAGCCGGTCAGTGAGGAGAAGGGATCTGGACCCAAATCCGTGAAAACTCCCAGGCCTGAGCCTGAAACTGCATGATGTGCCCTATGGAGGCAAACCCCTCATGCTGTGAAGAACTTGCTAATTGTCTTCTTTAAATCACACAAATAACACAAAGCCTAAAGCCCAGATCCAAGGGCAATGGAAAGTGCCCAGAAGGAAAGCCGACTTACCCTTCAGGCCCCGAGGTGAGCTGTCACTGGACGCATTACTATGGCTCTCGAGCTGCCTGGCCCGGACCCTGAGAGGAAAGGACAACCCTTAACCCAAAGGGCCAATGACCCAGTCTAGCCCAGACTAAGCCCTCCAGTCTGACAACAAGGACATAACAGAGCGATTCTACCACAGCTTAGGGGAGCGCCCCCAGGAGCACAGACCTGAATTCTGGAGACGCCCCAGGAGGGTCCCGCCTCCCCTGAGTGCCAGGCCCCGTGCACAGTGGGCATGGGCTGTGTGGGATGACAGCCTGTGCTTCTGTGTCTGTGAGGTCTGTGGCTGGGCTCAAACAATTTTGTTAACAAAGGAAACTTCACGCAGAACTCCGGTACAGACCAAACAGGGCGGCTCTGGGAAAGTGAAGGGTGTGGAGCCCACCCTTACTACACATGGAGCTTTCTAGACCACGTGGAAACACCCTGCCTAGACCAGGACAGTGGCACCTGGTGAGGGTGGGAGCCAGCACAGGGCAGAGTATGTGCGCCCACCGATGGACAATGAACCCTGTGCCCGCTCCAGGGCCCGCTTCCCCTCGGTGGTCCGAGGGGGCGGGTGCTGGGGTCTCAGGAGGAAAGTACGTGCTGGCTTTCCGTGGCTGTTTGCTGTCCTTCAGCTCCTTCTCTTTTTTGTCTCAAATTGACATCTGCCCCAAAGGGAAAAGAAACTGACCTCCCCCATGACAAGTGTGGGGCAGCCGCCCTCCTGGCTGCAGTGTGTGCCCGCCTGAGCGTGTCTAGGGCAGCCGTCCCTGCCTCCCTAGGATCACAGGGGGAGCACCTGCTGCAGGGATGGCGGCACCACCTGGCCAGGGCAGGCAGTCCCTTCCAGGCCTGAAGACCTCCCCTCCTGGTCCAAGCCCCCAGCACACCCAGTCCCACGGTGCCAACCCCCCACCTGCAACTCCCCCCAAGTATCATCAGGGCTGGTCCCACTGCACAGTCATGGCTGGGGACAGGGACTGTGTGCCCGGCGTCCCTGCACACAGCTGGTGTTGAGCTGAACTGCACTGAGAACTGGGGACACACTAGTAGAGGCTCTGCTTCCACCCCCCAAGCAGTCTGCTCTGGACTCACTGGGGCACAGGGCACCCAGGTCCCCAGCCCCGGCACGCTCCCCAAATAGCAGGCATCAGAACAAGCCTGTTAGCAGCGGGGTTTGGGGGTGAACCAACAAGTACTTGGTTTCCGTGAAGAGCACAGAAGCAGAACGAGCCCCCTTTCTGAGTAGGAAAAACTTGAACAAAAAAACCCACCTTCCTCTTGGAAAAGGACGTGTCACTGAAAGGCAACTGTGATACAGCTCAGCGGCTCCCAAAGCCTCCGTCCATTCCAGCCCTGCTCTGCCCACCCCTTCACCTCTGTCTCTTGATGAGAGAAGCTCCAGGAATCGGAACACTGAGGAAGAGGATCCCTTTCCTCAGCGGATTCGGTGTAAATCTGGCCCCTCAGTGACACTTCCAAGAGTGCTGGCCGACTCCTCCTGTCATGTTACCCTCCACCCAGTGCCAAGAGGGGAGGGCTCCGCGGTGTCACACTGCCCTCCACAGAGCCTGTCTCTGCCCATAAGTTGCAGGAGTCCATGCCAGCACCATGGAGCTTTCTAGGCAATGGGAGGGCGGGAGATAGTGCTCCTCCTGCACTTATTGTTGATACTTCAGAAGCCGAAGCCAATGTAAACGCTCTCAGTTTTTGTTTTAATTAAAAAGTTAGCTCCCCACCCTCCAGGGCCATCATTTCCAGCTCTTCTGCTGTCCTCAGATGCTGTCATCTCTAGGTCATAAGCAGAATGTCTTTTTAAGTTTTAAGCTGTATTTCTCCCCTCTGTTGCATATTTTACATTTCCCAGTGCTCATCCCCAGATGCTCCTTTTCACAGCATCCTGCTCTGGTTGCACCGTGCAAAGTGGCTTACTTTGCACGAAGGGCTACTGGCATCTGGAGACATCCACCCTGTCAATCCTCCCCGAATCCCCTTGTTTTTCAGTCTAGGACACCCACCCTCCTCGCCATGGACCGGCCTCCAGTGCAGGGACCCTGTCAAGTCTCCGCCCTGGAGAATAAACCTCCAATGTTGCCTGATTTTAGCCCAAACTCTGGTTCACCTCCGTTCAGGAGCTGCTTGGTGCCATCAATTCCTGAGCAGTGGTGTGGGTTCCAGGGCTCAGGCCCAGCCGTCCAGATGGCGGAGCTAACCTCCCAAAGTTGCACAGCTGTAGGCGGAGGTGAGCTCTGGACCTGAGTGTGTGGGACGCCATCCTGTCCCCAGGGTCACCCACCTACTGACCACCTCTCGGTCTGAGAGGCACCTCCTGCCCCTGCGAGCTGGGTCTTTGGGAAGGACCTCGGGCCGAGATGCTCATCCCTCTTGGTTCTGGAGGGACCCGTGACTCACCGTGGGTGCGGCCTGGGTGCCGGGAGGTGGAGGTGGAGCTGGAAGGAGCTGTAGTGATGGCTGAGGATGAAAAGGCCCTGGAGCCCAGCTCTGATGGCCTGGGCTTGGTAGCTTGGTCAGCGGAGGCATCAGTGCAGTCAAGGCTGCCTCTGGGCGGGGCCACTCCCTTTGGTATTGGGTCCCCAGGGCCTGGGGCAGAGAAGGACAGTGAGAAATGGGGCTGCAAAATCCCATGCCAAGTTGGGGCGATCACACTGAGGCCTAGAAGCAGAGGCAGCAGGGCCAGGGAGCCCAGGGACAAAAGCGGGGCTGTGTGCCTCACGGGCTGTGGTCTAAGGGGGGGGCCCTGGTGGCAGCCTGAGTTGGAGGCCCCAGGACGCTGGCCCTGGCTCTAACCATGGATCACAGTGTGAGCCCCCAGCAGCCGGGAGAAAATAAAGGGTGAGCTCAGGAAGCTCAACAAAATGTTGGTAAAAGTGCAACATGTTAACTACTGGGCCCACCTGCCGTGTCCCTCAGTCCCTGATCACTAGTTAGAAGACCTGGCATGTGGCTGCTTAGGACCACTCCCGTCCTGTGGGCCAGGCCCTCAAGGTCCAGGATGTGCACCCTGCCAATGGGCTTCCCTTATGATTTGAGAAAGAAGTTCATTGCCACCCTAACAGTCATCTGTTTAAGAAGTCTTCATCTCTCATGATGACTTTGATTGCAAGAATGATTTTTACCTTGTATGTTTTGCAATCTCTGAATTTTCTCCTGTGAACACATACTCTTGTCAAAGTTAAATAAAACCCCAATAAAAACAGCAACATTGGGAGGAAAAACACACCTGAAAGACCTTCGACTACCTCCTACTAGGAAAGAGGATGGGCTCTCCAAATACAAATGAAAAACGAATGCGGTTGGAGTTCCTCAGAGCATCAGGACAAGGCTGTTTTGCACAGCGTCCTGCTCCAGGCAGCTGGAGGGCTATGGTCCCGGAGCCACGCCCACTGTGGGGATTCTGGCCCCTCCACTCTCTCCCAGGACCTGTTGCCCCTGCCCCTCAGCCACCCAGTGTCTGGACTCACAGGGAAGTTTTAAGCACCCAAGCCTTGCAATGTGAAATCAAGGGGAGATTTGGATTCTGAAAGATAACCTTGATGAGCAGCAAGATTCACGTCTGGTGGGATGAATCTGACAGGCGTCCACTGCCTGAGATCAGCGTGAGGAGCAGCGGGGAGGCAGAAGTGCCAGACAGCAGCCAGGGCAGAGAGAGTGCGTTTCCAACAGCATGCGGGGCAGGAAGGCAGGCGGGGGACCAGCACGCTGCAGCCCAGAAATCAGAGCGATGCATGTGACAAAGTCAGTGCCACATCAACTGACAGGAGCAGTGCGAGAGTCCACCCGTTTACTTTTACGGTGACCTTGTGTTTATATGGTTTATATGGTTTTCCATTCACAGTACGGATAACAATCTTTCAAAATAAAGTGGAAACTGCAAGTCGATTCAAGGGAAAGTATGTAAGTATCACTCAGGTGAAACAGACTTTGCAAAATCATGGAGATGGTATGAGGATGGCTGAAGACAGAAAACAATGCAGTAGCTAAAGGCTTCTGTGGACCAGTGCTCCCAGCTGACGGTGACAGTGAGCTGATGACCTATCTGTCCACTGCTGCCCTCACAGCAGCATCCAAGATGTCAGAGGACCTCAGCACTGTCCCAAAACGTCACTTTGGGCTGAACCCTGGCTGGGCAACATCGATCCGATTATTTGAGATGCTGAGTGGAGCAGTCAATTCTTCAAAACACAGAACACATCTAAAAAGGGACTGCTCTGAAAAAGCCGAGATTCTGTGCTCTGACTCAGAAGGTGGAGACAAGGGCAGCAGATTGAAAGTTAGCTGCCCAAAAATGAGTCTTAAAAAAACTCACTTGACAGGGGCCGCGCAGTTTCAGAAGCATAGCGACCGCTGATGAGTTCTGCGCTGCACAGGGGCAAGGTCTACAAGCCTGCAGGTGCGAGAGAGGGGGCGGCACTGGGCCCGGGGCCTCACTTAGCACAGACACCCTGGCCCAGGGACCTGGCGCGGATGCCCTGAGGCTCCCCTAACACTGGGCTGCGCTGGAGTCAGGTCCAGAGGCCGAGACAACTGGTCTCCTTTGAAGTCAGAATCCAGGTTGGCTGCTTTAAGCTTGGCTTGGAATTTGGGTGAGGAGGAGGGGTCCACTGAGGGTCATCTGGCCTTTAGCTACTGTTTTTCTGTTTGTTTTTTGAATTTCAGACATGAAGGCAGGTACATTGTGAAGACACTGATGGATTAGAAATCCCCAGCATCTGAGAAAGGGAGGGGCTAGTGGGAAGCAGGTTTGATGTCAGAGCAGGTCCAGAACCTCAGGCGTTTATAGAAAGCCCGGTGGGATGATGGAGACTTGGCCTTGTCCTCGCTCCCGCTTCTGCAAAAGTGACTCTTTTTGCGCCGAGTTGCTAAATTGTGATCCCCAGGATAACCCAAGAGAGGAAGGAAAAACAAAACAAAACAGCAAATAAATGAAATGAATAACAAATGACTGCGTTAGCTAAATGGTCTTGGGAAATCAGAGTCCTGTCCTGCCCAGGAGAGTTGGAAACAATACTCACAGCACAATCAGAATCAGGACTCGGTGAACCATTCTGCTCTGACCCCACTTAATTAATTTAGTGGCGTCCTGTGCCCAGGCTTTACTTAGCACGTGAGGAGCATTCAATATTGCTCTAGGAGCCGCTGCCTTAGACTATTTTTCAATGTCAATGTGTTAAACTATTAAATAAGAATGTTTACTAGTTTAGGACCCGGTTTTTCTTACTCCTCCGCCCTAATGACCAGCTCCCTGGCAACTTGGCTCACACACAACTAACTCCTGCTCCTGTTCAAACACCTTGGGACACTTCCTAGTGTGCTTCTGGCTGCTGCAACGGGACAGTCCACCTGAACTGCTCACTAATAGTCCTTGTCCTTTTCAAACAGCCTCTTATGGAAGGATGAGTTTGAAATTCCTCTTTTTCAGACCAAAACACTGTCAACATCAAGAATTATTCCCATTTAGATCCCTACGCATCCTCTACTGCAAGCCTACACTTCATGACCTTTAAATTATGGAGTCTTATCAGAGCAGACAATTGGCCTAACTTCCTGAACATGTCATGTACATGAGCATAACTGACTTACCTGATTTCTGACTTAGGATTCAAGTTCATAGCAGGTCCACTGTTATTTCTCTCTCCACAGCACCACCTGGTGGCCACAGCTCACACCACAGGAGAAGGAACCTACTACCAGTGATGGTGAACCTTTTGAACTCCGTGTGTCAGCATTTTGAAAAACCCTAACTTAACTCTGGTGCCGTGTCACATTTAGAAATTTTTTGATATTTGCAGCCATAGTAAAACAAAGACTTATATTTTTGATATTTATTTTATATATTTAAATGCCATTTAACAAAGAAAAATCAACCAAAAAAATGAGTTCACATATCATAGGTTCGCCATCACTGCACTATGCAATGCTGGTGCCCCAGGATTGGTCAGCACCTTCAGGGACCAAAGCAGCTTCAACTGCAGGCAGTGCTCACAGTGGTTAAGAGTTCAGGCTCTGTAATCTGTCAGACCCGGGTTCAGATCCCAGCCCCACCCCTTATTCTCTGGGCAAGTGCTTATCCTTGTCAAGCCTCACTTTCCCAGCACTGAAAATGGGATAGGAATCGTACCTGCCTCACATGGCAGTTGGAACTAAAGGAGAGACATAAAGTGTGAAACTAGCTAAAGGGTGCTGAGCCCAGAAAGAGCCCCCATTACATGGCTGCCGTTACTAATATCTACCACTGACCTGCTCATTCATGGATCAAAACAGTTGTTTCTTTTTTTAATTTTAATTTTATTGTTTAAAGCCGTGGTCGGCAAACCGCTGCTCACAAGCCACACGCAGCTCCCTGCCCCCCCCGCCCCCCCGAGTGTGGCTCTTCCACAAAACACCAGGTGTGGGCATGCATGTACAGTGCGATTGAGACTTTGTGGCCCATGCACAGAAGTCGGTATTTTGTGGAAGAGCTGGTATTTTGTGGAAGAGCCACACTCAAGGAGCCAAAGAGCAGCATGTGGCTCTTGAGCTGCGGCCTGCAGAGCCGCAGTTTGCCGACCACTGGCTTAAAGTATTACAAAGAGTAGTACACATGCTTCCTTTTTTAACCATTGTTCTTCCCCTGGCCTCCCCTAGCCCCGGTATCTTGAGCCCATTGGTTATGCTTATATTCATGCATACAAGTCCTTAGGTTGATCCCTTACCTCCCCCACCAACCCTCCCCAGCCTTCCCGCTGTAGTTTGACAGTCTGTTCCATGCTGCTCTGCCTCTGCATCTATTTTTGTTCACCAGTTTATAATGTTCTTTATTATCCATAAATGAGTGAGATCATGTGGTTTTTTTCTTTCATTGACTGGCTTATTTCACTTAGCATAATGCTCTCCATTTCCATCCATACTGTTGCAAATGGAAAGAACTCCTTTTTTACAGCAGCATAGTATTCCTTTGTGTAGATGTACTGCAGTTTTCTAATCCATTCATCTGCTGATGGGAATTTAGGCTGTTTCTAAATCTTAGCTAAGGTAAATTGTGCTGCTATGAACATAGGGGTACATATATACTTTCTGATTGGGGTTTCTGGTTTCTTGGGATATATTCCTAGAAGTGGGATCACTGAGTCAAATGGGAGTTCCATTTTTAACGTGTTGAGGAAACTCCATACTGTTCTCCACAGTGGCTGCACCAGTGTGCATTCCCACCAGCAGTGCAAGAGGGTTCCTTTTTCTCCACATCCTCGCCAGCATTTGTCATTTGTTGAATTGTTGATGATAGCCATTCTGACAGGTGTGAGATGGTACCTCATCGTCATTTCGATTTGCATCTCTCATTTGATTAGTGACTTGGAGCATGTTTTCATATGTCTCTTGGCTTTCTGAATGTCCCCTTCTGAAAAGTGTCTATTCAGGTCCTTTGTCCACTTTTGATTGGATTATTTATCATCCTTTTGTTAAGTTGTATGAGTTCCCTGTAGATGTTGGAGATTAAACCATTATCGGTGATAACATTGGCAAATATGTTCTCCCACACAGTGGGCTTTCTTGTTGTTCTATTGATAGTTTTCTGTGTTTATTTGCTGTGCAGAAGCTTTTTATTTTGATAGTCCCATTTTTTATTTTCTCTTTAGTTTCCATTGCCCTAGGAGCTGTATCGGTAAAGATATTGCTACCACAAGTGTCTGCTATTTTGCTGCCTATTTCTTCTTCTAAGATTTTTATGGTTTCCTATCTTAAAGTCCTTTATCCATTTTGAGTTTATTTTTGTGTATGGTGTAAGTTGGTGGCCTAGTTTCTTGTTTTTTGCAAGTATCTGTCCAGTTTCCCCAAAACCATTTATTGAAGAGACTCTCTTATCTCCATTGTATGCTCTTGACTCTTTTGTCAAACATTAATTGAGCATACTGGCCTGTGTTGATTTCTGGGTTCTCTGTTCTGTTCCACTAGTCTATGTTTGTTCTGGTGCCAGTACCAGGCAGTTTTGAGAACAGTGGTTTTGTAGTATAGCTTGCTATCTTGTATTGGGATCCCTCCTACATTGTTCTCTCTCAAGATCGCTGCAGCTATTCGGGGTCTTTTTTATTCCAGATAAATTTTTGGAGAGTTTGTTCTAGATCATTGAAGTATGCCATTGGTATTTTAATGGGGATTGCATTGAATTTATAGATTGCTTTGGGTAGTATGGGCATTTTAATGATGTTGATTCTACCAATCCATGAACATGGTATATTCTTCCATTTGTTCATGTCTTCCTCTATCTCTTTTTTTTTCAATGTTGTGTAGTTTTCTAAGTACAGGTCTTTTATGTCCTCAGTTAAGTTTATTCCTAAGTATCTTAATTTTTTTGGTGCACTGGTAAATGGGATTGTTTTTTTCACTTCTCTTTCTGTGAGTTCATTATTAGTGTATAAAAAGGCCATAGATTTCTGGGTGTTAACTTTATATCCTGCTACTTTGCCAAATTCACTTATTAGGTCAGTAGTTTTTTAATGGAGTCTTTGGGATTTTTTATGTATAGTAACATGTCATCTGCTAATAAGGACAGTTTTACTTCTTCTTTTCCAATTGGATGCCTTTTATTTCCTCTTCTTGTCTGATCACTATGGCTAGCACTTCCAGTACTATTTCAAACAGGAGTGGTGAGAGTGGGCATCCCT